GTTAACGCCGACAACGCCAGGCTGAGAACGCGGGAGACGACGGTATTGGCGGCACAGAAGGAGACATCGACGACGGCAACGCCGTCAAACTACTCATCTTTGGCGTCCTCATCTCCCCAGCCTCCTCTGCGAAATCCCTCACCCTGCTCGTCCGCTGCACTGCGTGTCATGCGTGCTGCTCCGCTCGCGGTCCCTCCACTCGTCGACGGCTTGCGAGAGCCGAGAATGAGGCGGATGAGGGAAAGGATGGGGATGATGCAGATGCGCCGAGGGATAGCCATGCGACTCCGTATGCGACGCATACCCCACCGGCAAACTCTCCGTCGACGCAGCAGGCCTCGCAAACACCAACACACTCGGATCCATCTCCACCGGACTCTCCGTCTTCCTCACGCCGTCGTCGCCGCCCCCACTCGCCCGCCTGAGCGCCTCCTGTTCCTTCGTCTCCACCCCCAGCCCGCTCAGCCCAGGCGGCAGGGTGGCGCTGCAGACGACTCGCCCCGGACTTAGCAACGCGCGCCGCCTCGCCTCGCCGGGGCTGATCTCTCCCTCTTCCTCGTCCGACGAGGGGGCTGAAAAGGTGGTATACGTAGAGGCGGTCATGTGGGAGGAGGTCGCGGTGAGGTTGGTCGCGGTCGGCACGGGGGATGCATTCACCTTGCCGTTGACCTTTTTCGGGGGTGGTTTGAGGCTGAGATCGGGATGGGCATGGACAAAGGCCCTAAAGCTCTTATCGGTCTTGACGTCGGGTATCGTCCAGGGGAACCTCCTGAGGAGCATGCAGCAAAAGATGATGCCGACGCTCCAGACGTCGGTCTTCCTCGGATCGTACTCCTTTTGAGTGAGGACCTCTGGAGCGAGGTAGGGGTCGCTGCCGACGACGCCTGTGGCGAGGGTGGGTGATGAGCCAGGGTAGTGAAAGACGGTGGCAGTGCCAAAGTCGATGAGTTTGACGACGTTTGAGGAGGTCATGACGCAGTTGTCGAGTTTGAGGTCGCGGTGGGCGAGGCCGAGGGAGTGGAGGTAGTCGACGCCGGAGATGATCTGGCGAAAGACGCAGTAGATTTCTGGACGACACATTTTGTGGGACATGACGACGGAGAAGAGGTCGTAGGGGGCGTATTCCATGACCTGAGTAGAGGGTTAGCAGAAAAGGGCAGGGGAAAAGGAAAGGAGGCACCTCGTAGTAGTGGCCGTGATCGCTGACGATGTCGACGGTCTGGATGATGTTGGGGTGTTTGAGGGTGGAACCGACGCAAAACTCAGCGGTGACCTTTTTCTGGTACTCTTTTTCAGACTCTCCGGTACGTTTTGGACGGAACTCTTTTACGGCAAAGATGGAGCCTCCGTTCTTGCTGCTGGCCTTTATGAGACGGACAGTGCCGCCTGCGCCTGAGCCGAGGACGCGACCCCACTTTCCGTACTTCTTTGAGAGGTGGGCATGTGTTGCGTCTGAGAGGGAGGGGATGGGATGGGGAGAAGAGTCGATTGTGCTGGAGGGAGAGTGTGAGATTGGGAGTGAGCTGGCAAGGGAGGAGTGGGAGGGAGAGGGGGTTTTTGAGTGTGGCTTTTGTTTTTCCTTGCGGATGAAGGAGGGGAGACGGTGGTGTGATTCCCTGTGTGGGATGGTGTGCCTGTGGTGACGGACATTGATGGGAGAGGAGGGAAAGTCGAGACCGCGACGCTGCTCTGAGGGGAGCTGATGGGGATCTGCGGGGGTGTGTATGGTGGTGTGGGGGAGGGTTGAGGCTGGGGAGGTGTTCTGGGAGGATGCGGAGGTGATTGGGTGGCGGAGGTGGGGGTGGTGGTGTGGGATGTGGTGGTTGAGGAAACGCTTGAGGTCGTGGAGTGGGCCCTGTTTGGGGACGGCGGGTGTGGAGGGGGGAGAGGGGGGATGCGAGTTTGATATGCGACGCCTGAACCTGGACGTGAAGTTGGGAGGGTCGGGGGGGGTTCTGGGCTGGGACGAGGAGGAGGGGGAGTGGTCGAGGGGGGTTCTGGGCTGGGACGAGGAGGAGGAGTGGTCGAGGGGGGTTCTGGGCTGGGAGTGGTCGGTTTCGTCGTCAATGTCGATGGGACGCATGGGATTGGCAGAGAGCATCGTTCGTGGTGGAGAGAAAGCAAGGAGAGACTCGGATGGTCACTTTAGTAACCACCTCGGTCCGATACACACACGCGACTCTCCCTGGACCCCAGCCACTCCATCCCCGCCGCCTCTCTCCCCACATGCCGTCACCCTCCCTCCATCCGTGCCCCTCGGATGAACCAACCGTTTATTGGTCACGCTCGGCATCTCCTCCCTCCCGCTGAAAGGGGAGCAAGCGAGGAACCCTCTCCGCCATCATCCATTTTCGTGTCATACTTGTCTGTTTCAACTATTCCATTATCTCGCCCTTAGCCCCATCTCACACCTCTTAGAACCTCCATCAGATTCACCACTAGTGCCTTGGCCCCTCCCCTCCGACAATCGCTCCCTCAGCATATGTAACGCTTGTCTGCCACAGCCGCCACGATTCTCCCCAACCATACATGAGTTCTTGAGCGCAACGGCGCCGGGCCTCAACACTCCCCGGGGTCCCTCCCCTCCATCCATCCGTGCCGAGCGTGCCTAAGCACTCTACAGAATTTATCTCTTTTGGACGAAAAGCCGTTTTACGATGATGGGCAAGGCGTGCGTGCTGTGCCTTTGATGCATATACATTGCAGTCCATCGGGCGCAAACGGATGTTCATTTATACTCGGTTGATTATACGATGTTGTTCCGAGTCGTGCTTGCCTGGGATCGTTGATGCTGGTCATGATTGACGATTTGTGATTGCGATTTACGATGCCGATTCACAAAAAACCGTCAAGTACTGATTCTGATATGATCACTCTTGTAATTAGGCATCGAACGAGGTTCTTCTTGGTCAATTGCTTTTCTTTCTGTTTTTGTCGGGCTTGCGTCGAATCCAGCCGAACATCATCTCATCAATGATCAAGAAACACTCGCGACAGAAACTAAAGCATGTCTCTCCGAGTCAAATATGTCACTGTCGAGGAACAGAACGAGCACCGCAAGTCCCCACCTCGACTCGAGTGGCGCGTATATACGATGTGACAAGATTGGCAGCGGTACTTATCGCCCTGTGCATATGCATCATGCATTTAGCCCGCGCCATACCATATGATATCATACGATGATTCAGATCGGTGCTTTCGTGATGGCGCTGTCACCGGGCGCGGTTAGCGATAGGGGCCTGTCCTTCTTTCCTTCGTCCGCGGTGCATAAGCCCAACCATCATCTGATATCACACTTGGCGTCCCCAACTCCGTCCTACTCTCCTTCCTACACCCCTTCTGCAGTGTCGCCCACCCGCAGTCTTCCTTCCACGTCATCTGCTCAGGGGGGGACAGGTCCTGTGATGGATTGCAGGTTCATCTTACACTAAATTGCCTCAGATGCGGATGAATCATATCATCAGTTCAATCTTGACGCCGTGACATGAACGCAGAGCACTCGACTGAGCACGCCTCAACTCGACGCCCAAGTTAAGAAACAGACGCAGAAACTCAGCACCACATCGAACTCTCACTCAAGCCCAACACACCAAATCACCTCCCCACAACCCTCCGTGGACCATCCCCAAATCAACCAAGCCGACGGTCGTACCCCGTTACGTACCCCAGAGCTCAGAACCAACATACACCATACCACTGACTTTTTCTTGCGAAATATCTATTTGGCAACTCGAAAGAGAACGCCGAGAGAGGCCAAGTGTCAGGTATACCACCCGTGCCTTCGCCCGAGCCACGGGGTAAATGACGTCCCTACATTATGCTACTACTGTCGTTTACTTTTAGTTTACTTTGTTATGATTTGATTTGATTTGCGCGACACAGGTCAAAGGCCAAGAAGCTTGCTATTATAGTACCATCATGTGGTCTCTGCACCCGGATGGCACACTCGGAAGCTCGAGAGAAGGACGGGGTGCGTGATGCGATACAAACGTTAATACTGCGGGGAGTGTCGATGGAGAAGCAGATATCAGAATCAGAATCGCGCTCAACGGACAACACGATTCTTCAAAAAGCCTCAAGCTGCCCAACCCCCCTTTCTCTCCGAAACCGAAACCTGAAACCTGAAACGCGACCAGTGCGTCTTGCAACTGGCTGATATACAGCTTCTGCACGAGTTAGCTTAGCATTTCCGCCGCCCAGTCGAACGTCCGAGTCCGTCCTGGTACATCGTCAACCACCCTAGCTTTCGCCCGGTATGGCAAGTACCAAGACTCCCTCTCCCTCTCTTACTTTTTCTCCGAGAAGGCCCACCGCGATAGGGGCAGGACGAGAATCAAGTCGATGAACGAACGACATCTGGACCAGACACCGCACGGCCGCCCATGCCCGCCGCATCATCGCAAAACCCCTGCCCCCAGGTACATCGAGCACGGCTTCACCAGCTCAAAAGCAGCAAAAACGGTCCGCTCGGACGTTCGTCGGGAGGGTGCCCCCAACGCCCGCAAGTACCCAGCAGCAGTGTTCACATGGTCCTGCCGGCGCTACGACGATACCACTGATACGAGCCCCATCTGCCCCATTCTGCCCATCTCAGGCTCAAGAACTCGGTGCAAAAAATCACTCACGACCGACCCGTTTTCTCTCTCTTCCCTCCACTTGCAGCAGCACCGAGTAGGGATATCTTCATAACTCGTAGAAAGAGAGCCCTCGGACATCAAAATGGTCACGCTCTGAGCATCTTTTTTTCATTTTTTCTTGACTTCTTTCACTAAACTGGTAATTCTCCATCCCCCCTTTCCCAGCCCTCGACACTCTCTCATCCCAGATCGTCGGCATCCCGCTTCCGCTTCATCTCTCTCGATACTTTATGCTGCGCTGACTCGTGCTTCGCAAGCTCCATAGGTACCTTGGACACGGGGCTCTTTGATATTTCTGTATATACAACACCCACCCCAAGCCAATGCATAGCGAATGCCGCATGAGGGACGTGGGGAAAACGTTCGTTAATATGTCGAGGAAGGGAATTGTAGCCGTTGATAGCAAGAAAAGGGAGAAGGTGGACGGATGAGGAAGGCGTGGCAGGGACGGCAGACGGCAGACGGCAGCGGCCAAGGCAAGGGGTTATACGGAAATAACGGCGAATGGTGATGCAGAATGAAAAAAAACGCATGTCAAGTAAACAGATGGCGAATACAGTGAGCAAGCATGATTAATAAATATTTCATCAGAGGGCACGTACCTTGCTTGAGATCGTACCTAGAAGTGGCGAAAACCAAAGATAACATGAGCATATGCGATGGTGATTCGGATCAGATAAAGATAGCAAGCCGGAGAGATAAACGTACATCACTTCATCATCGTCATTCGTCAAGAACGTGATCGACGTTCCCTGCTTTCCTGCTCGTCCCGTACGACCTAAGCGAATAAAATCGCGTAATTATCAGCCCGAGTGAGTCGAGCGAACAAAAAAGAAACCGATCGCACCGATACGATGGACATATGCCTCAATCGTGCCAGCCATTTGGAAGTTGATGACAAGACTGACGTCTTGCACGTCGATACCACGACCTGCGAGATCAGTGGCGACTAGAACGTCGCTTTCCCCAGAGCGTAGTGCCTGTAGAGAAGCTTCACGCTGTTCTTGGTTTTTGCCCGAGTGCAACGTCGCCGCATTCCACTAGCGATAGTTCAGCATACAAAGCACCAGCAAAACAGATAAAATAAGGTACGCACGCCCGCACGAGATAGGTCCTTCGCCACCATATCCGCAGTCTTCTTCTGGTTGACGAAAACGATAATGGGCGAAGCATACATCCCGCTGTTCAAGATCTCCAGCAAGCGTTGCCTGTACCCACATCAGTAACTTGCGCCAAGGCTGCAAAACGCAGGAAAATAAAACCCACTTCTTCTTCTCGTCTCCGCTCACGAACTCGACTCGTTGCTCGACAGTGTCCACAGCCCTACCAGCCTCACCGATCGTGATGATGGCTGGTTTCTTCAAGTACTTCCGCGCAAGCCTTTCGACAGCTGGAGGCATCGTCGCTGAGAACAACGTCGTCACGCGCGTACGCCCTTTCTTGACCAACGTCTCTCCATCAACGTCCATCTGCTCACCCATGTCTTCGCCCGCCATCGTTTCACTTGGGAGTTTGTCGAGGATGAAGAGCAAGTCCGTCTCGAAACCGAGGTGTACCATTCGGTCAGCTTCGTCCATGACCACATACCGGCATTGGGAAAGGACAAGGACGTGTCGCTCTAGAACGTCTTTGAGACGACCAGGCGTGGCGATAATGATTTCAGCACCTTCACGAAGGTTGAACTGTTGCTCTTCTACAGCTCGCTGGAGATTTCGGTCAATAGGGTATAGGAGACAAGCGTGAAATTTACTTACTCCTCCGACAATAGAAACACAATGGAACCCGAGTGGGGTAGCAAATTTCCGGGCTTCGCTTTCGATTTGTTGCGCCAACTCACGAGTCGGGGCTAGAATAAGAGCATAAGGGCCCAAATGTCTGATCTCGTCGGTAAACGGCGGCATTGTAGATATGAATGAAAGCATAGGGATGACGAAGGCTGCAGTTTTACCCGAACCTGCATAGATAGAACGTATCGTTAGAAGGTAAAAGAAGAAAAAGGTGTAGAACTGAATCTACACACCAGTTTCAGCGATACCAATGATATCACGATTTTGCAGACCAATAGGAATGGCTTGTCGTTGAATGGCAGATGGTTCTTTGTAACCAATTTTGGCGATGACATCCAGTATAATTTCAGGTATGGCAGACTCCGTCCATGAGCGTAGCGGATGAGGGATAGCTCCACCTAAAAAGGAACACGCTCGTCGTCAACTCAATATAGGAAAGAAAGTGAAACTAACCTCGAGCAGAAATACTGAAATCTTCTCGGAAAATGCGCCAATCTCTCTCCTTCATCTCATCCAACGACTTGTCGGACCAATGCCTCTCGTCAAGCCCAGACTTGGCTGCTTTACGTCGCTCCATAGAATCTGCCAAGTGGGTATCGAGAGCAGGACCTCTTCTTGACCCAGCTCCGCCATCGTCCATACCAGCAAGTCTACCACGTCCGAACATAACCTGAGCCCCCTGACGATGAGTTCCCACAGCTACAGGCGAGTCTTCTGCAAACGTATCGTCTTGTTCGTCCCAGTCGAAAACGAACTTTCGGTCGTTCATTTTGCGAATCTTGCGCTTCTTCTTGTCGACACCCAAATACCGAGAACGAATGGCGTGGAGGTCATCGTTGGTCATGGGGGGTACGTATGGAGTCGAGGATTCGGGAAGAGTCGACTGTCCATTAGGGTTGGATGGGACCGGAGGAGGAGGCATTGAAGAAGAGGGAGCTGGAGAGTTTGTTGTGGACGCTGGACCAGATGGAGGGGCTTTTCCACGATCTGCTCGAGGGCCTGTTGGTACATTTTGATAGTTTTTCTGAGCTTGAGGAGGTCGGTGATCAGGGGGAGCCCGTCGGTCTCTATTATCTCGTGAATCACGACCATCTCGTCGTGCATAACGGTCTTTGTCTTTTTCGGGATGCGCATAGCGATCGTCATCTAGAATTCATAAAAGGAATGAACGGTCATGAGGTGTAAACCCTAGGATGAGATTAATGACTGACATCGACTACCACCACCACCAGCGCCATACCTAGACTGATTGCGCTCTCTCTGTCTGACCTCCTCCGCGTCTCGCTCTAGTGTATCCCTGTCCTGCTTTGATTTCTCATCTCTTTCTCGTTGTTCTCTGAGCTCCTGAGCACGTTTAGCAATGGCAATCGTTGCACGTTCCTCTTTTGATAAGAATTTGGGCTACATTTCGGATAATAATTAGTGTTGAGCATGTGCATCTTGAAAGACAACTCACTTTCGAGGCAGCCTCCTTCTCCTGTCTCTGCTTTTGGAGGAGGGACTCGATGGAAAGAGGTTCCGCTTTAGAGGTCATGATGGCACTGAAGAAAGGCTCTCGTCCGAATGCGGTGATCTTGTCCCACACCCACTGCCATCACGTGCCTCATCTGTGCCCCGTTGCATGAGCGTAGCAAACGGCTTGTTGAGGTCGTGCAGACCCGGGCAATCCAGAATCTTTCATCGCCCATCTTTGCGGTCTCTTTTTCATATCAGATTCATTCTCAATCGCTGCTTTTACTTTCTACGCCCTTATCATGAATCAAGACATCCTCGCTCGCGTCCAGTCGCCTCGTCCAGAGACGCCAGAACCTGCCTCTCGACAGGGGAGGCGAAATGCGCCTGGCAGCGTGCAGCTACTCGACGACGATGGCGCTATATCGAACAAGGTATGTCTATAGTCTTATATCTTTGACACCTGATATCGAACGACGGAAGTTGCATACTTGATCCTAGCTCGAGGCTTGCTTGATGCATATATTCGCCAAGTACTGCACACCACAACCCCCGTCTACCGCGAATTCCCAGAGAAAAAGCTTGGCCATGCTCGTCCCTCCAGAGGGCTCTTATCTCACTCCAAAAGGCCTCGACTCGTGGGCTCGCGATACGAATGGCGCTCCTTTCTCCGACGAAACAAAAGAAGAACTGGTCGAGTTTTTAGATGTAACTGATGACGGTGGACTGACGTGAGTTTCTGATATGTCATTGCCAAATAAAATTTAGTAGTTATGCTAATGCATGCCGCTTTTGTGGACCAGATTCAAAGGCTTTCTTCAGATATACCAACTACAAACGGAGAGTGACGAGGAGGAGACTTGGAGGGATCTGGTCAGTCAGACAATAATACATCTTGCAGCACGCTCTCTGAAATGTCTTACCAGTCCAATCACGGCTTTGATCGGACACTAAAGCTCGTAGCTACACGCCGAGAAGACGAGGCAGAGGATAACAACGTACAAAGTTTTGCTAGGTGAGACCACTATAAATGTTCAGCGCTGTAAATTTTACTCATTACGATTACATAGGCTTATGGAAACGAACGGCTCTTCTAATCCATGACTGTTCCCCACAACTCTGAGTTCGCGCTGGCAACCAGAGAAAAATGACTGGCATTAATCGCCGTCGCTCACGATGTCAAAGCTAGCCCCTTGCTTGCCTAAAGTGTTCAGGCCATAACGTTATTTGCACTTTTTGTGGATGTATTCATGTTAAATGTATGACAGTCATGACTTCAAAGATGATGCCGTTAAAAGAGCAGTGTACAATATAAGTGCAGTCGCTACGCAACCCCCCTTGAGCTATTAAAATTCCGATGCATGGGACTGTGCATTTCACGTTAGTTGGCAACGCTTTCTAGATTCTCGCGCTGTGGGAACTCCAAAGTGAGTTTCCAGATCTCTACTCCTGCCCAGTCATCCTTGTGCCATTTCAACCCCCCCTTTTCCATGGCTTTTGCGACCTTCTTGTGAGGAATTCGTTCCACTCGAAAGCCCCATGTATCTCTGGCATCTAGGAGAGCTTGGTCGATGAGAGATGAATCTCGACGCTCAAGACAAAGATAGACTGGTGGTCCACGGGTCCGAGGAGGTGAATATGCATGAGCTGATGCAATGCACAAAGCTCGAATGGAACGCAAGAGGGGCTGAGTGAGCTCTGGACTATATAGTGTATCTGACGAAACGATAAGATCAAAAGGCGGGTTGAGCAAATGCACACTGCTGCCAGATGGGGATGGTGGATTCAATGGACCTGCAGCAGCGATGACATTGTCGTTATGCCAGGTCCAGTGGTCAGGAGGAACAGTCCAGTCGAGTTCGCGGACCTGAATAGAACCGGCATTGATGGGTAACTGAGCAGAGTTCGCAGCGATATTTTGGAGAAGAACGGTAGAGGTGACGTCCTTTACGTCCGTTGCAAGGACATCGCAGCCCAGAGAGGATAGAGCGAGGCTGAGTTTACCGGACATGGAAAAGGGATGATAAAGTGAGACGCCTTCTGATTTTTAGATGAGACGCACGCCATTAGGCCAATACCACTGCCCAGTTCCACGACCCTGGGAGGGTTTGTGTTTGCGGTAAAAAGGCGTTTGTGTATGTCTGCGAGGAATAGCGAGAGACATTGGGCCCCCAGCCAAAGAGCTGTGCCGTTTGAGCGCCCGTCGTCGAGCTGGGAAAGAGAAAAAGAAGAGATTCCAAAAGAATAAGAGAGACTCCTGAGATGCTTTGTATGGTGCGCTGGTAAAGGTGCCATGATGGTAAAAACACGAGGAGACAAGCGATCCCGTAAAAATGGCTGTATAGCCTTGTTTTGATTCCGAGTGGGCAGCGGCTACACCGTATGCATGCATAAACCTGCCCATATCTCCACGTTCCTCTCTTTTTGCTTGCTCTCGACAGTGCTGGATTTCCTTGCTTTGGGTGTCTGTTCCGTTCAAGGCTTGCTCCGAGCGCTGGGCCTTGTTGGATCATCACCAATCGCGCAATGAAGGCCCTTTTTCACCGCCTCAACAGAGGACTCACGAAAGAAAAGGATAAAGATTCAGTAAAAGACAGAGATATAAACTCGACCCCAACCCAGAGAGAAAAACAGCCTTTGCAGCTTGGCCCTCTCCCAGAATGGCCCCCTCAACGCGCCACGTCGACCCCGCCATCCCTCACATCCTTCAAGCCTCTCCCCGACCTTACTGCCCGCCCTTTACCCCCAATTGAAGAGCCATACCCCTCCGACTCCCCCACCAACGAATCTCTCTCCACAACAACTCCCCCACACACCACAGAACCCTCTCTCCGTGCTGAGGACAGCTCCGTTGGCCTGGGCATCACTGGCGCACCCTTGACAGCAGAGCCAGAGTCAACTGGTCGCAGCTCGAGAAAAACTACAAACGGGAGCGTCAAGGCCGCAGAGGGGAATAGCGATGTCCAGAAAAAAGTCGCTTTCCTCTCCCCTCCTCCTACTCCTTCAGGACCATCCAATGACCGGCCCTTGCCAGAGCCCTCAAGTAATGGATCTACATCGGGCGCTCCGTTGAAAACGTCGTTGTCGCGTTTCCAGGCAGCACATGGTAAGGATCCTCGTGGCTCTACTTCTACTGCAGCCTCAGCATCTAGGACAGATGTCGGTTCCACAAGTAGGGCTACTGGCTCTGGCGCTTCTACAAAGGCAACTTCCACCCGGACTGCGACATCTCCGTATCCTCAATCTGTCCGATCTGGCACGCCTTATTCTCAGATGTCCAACGCCAGCAGCCGTATTCTGGCCGTCACTTCTTGGAGTGAAGGAGCCGAAGAGGACTTGGTATCTAACCTGGGCCCCAGAGAGCGCACACGACAAGAAGTGTTATGGGAAATTGTGGCGAGTGAAGAAAGGTATAGATTATTTGACAATCTTGCAACTAAGCTTACACGTCTCTTCAGATACGTCAATGAACTGCTCAAAATGAAGGAGACGTTCATCGAGCCTCTCCTCCATCCCTACGCGTCACCTCCAGTCTCCTCGACTCCCTATACAGATTTCGAAGAATATTCACGCATCGACTCTCCTCAAGAGTCTCTGGAACAGCTACCCATCGCGGCTCGCTTCATGTCGCCCGTAGGCTACCGGTCCGAGGGTGCCTCTGCAACCACACCGAGTTCGGCAAAGAAGGATGACAAGGATAAAGTGTCACAGACACCCAATATCGATGGGGAGTCATTGGAGACTGATGAGGAGGACGAGAATGATGATCAAATGGGGAAAAGCTACCGCTCATCAAGGAAACCAAAAGATACCAAAAGTTTAGCCGCCAAGCACAACCACCCTCGATCCCCTTATCGTAGTGCCTCGAAAGCTGCTAAGACTAGTGAGTCGGTGCCATTCCCTTCACGGTCACACCATTCTCTTCCTCCGCCACCCCGTGTGAACCCGATGACCGCATCATCTCAGTCTCTGGGTCGACAGTCTATCCTGATGGAGCGCGAGAGAGATCGAAACAATAGCGGAGGTCAAGCATCCGTAGCTGATCGTAAAGCTACTCCGAATCAAGGGTCTCGAGTTTTGAGGAAATTCAAGAAAAGTCAGACTCGATCGGACACTCTCGGTAGTGCCGTTCCTCCCCACCAACTGCCAGAAGATTTTCGTATCTGCTTGGAGGTTATTGAGAGTGGGGTGCTGGATGGGCATGCCAAGCTCAGCGAAGGTTTGAAAAAGAGATATGATGAACAATATCCCCTTGTGCGGTCTCTGGCGGACGTGTTCGTATCGAATGTTGGTTTATTTCATTGCTCACCTTTGATCCCACGTTTCTAACCTCCCCCAAATTAGTCTCACATCTTCCAGGGCTATGCAACTTACGTGCTTCATCTGGAGCGCGCTCTCGAACAAGTTGATAATGCCCTATCGACTGCTAGTGCTGCTAAAAAGCCTAAGAATCAAGACTCTGCAGAATGGCTCAAAGTTTGCAAGTATCTGCAGAAACTCGAAGAAAATGCGTGTGATAAAGGCGAGACGGGCCTTGCTATCACGCTCTCCAAGCCATTCCAACGCCTGCTCAAATACCCTCTACTATTCCAAAACCTGCTCTTCCATACAGACCCCAGTACATTCGAGTATGAGAGCACACTGCAGATGGTCGCAGAGGTCGAAACTATCGTGCGAAGCATCGAGGATGAGAAAATACAGAAGGAAGATAGAGACAGAACTAGAGATGTTTTCGCGCGAATCGAGGGTTTGGACAAGGTCAAACAGCTCGCTATACCGAAACCTTCGAGATTGTTGGTGGAAGAAAGGCAGATACTAGTTCCTGCTTCTCCAAATGGATCTTCAAAGGGAAGTAGTCCTCCTTCCGCCTTGAATCCTAGAGCCGTCAAAGGTAAAACATCATTTAAGCGCCTGAGTGATGTTTTAGGGACTGGTACTGGTGTTGGAGGGAAGAAAGACTTGTGGCTTGTGGTGTTCAACGACGTGGTCTTACGTTGTCAGCGCACCGGCACGACATCTCTACCATTGGTCGCCGCGACGAACTCCAGAACAAACTCTCTACCAGAATTGCAAGGCAAAGCCAAGTACGCCTCCACTGGACGACGCAATTCACATACGAAACCTCGCAACCTATATAAGTTTGTCAAGGTAGGTCGATCCAGATAGTGTTGCCATATCATTTCACCGTTTGTGTTCCTTCAGATCGAGACTTGGGTTATTGGAGACGTTGTTCAGCCAAACGAAGGAGTCGTCTCGATGGAAGAGTAAGCTTTGTTCTTCTTTGTCATCCTGTTCTTGTGGTGTTTAATATGCTTGTAGTGTTGTACGTTCGAAGGCACAAGTACACTCTGCTACTGCTCAACAGCCAAAAATCGTGCCTCTTCCCGACGACGACGAAGAGGAGGGTATCGAGTCCGATGACTCCGACAAGAAGAGCAAAATGAGTTTCTCTTACTGGGGAGCAGACAAAGTCACATTGCAAAAACCAGTCCTCAAGCCTAAGCAACACGGTGCTATCGGTACCACTCGGCGTGTCTCGCCAGGTACTTCATCATATGGCAGAGAGTCGTCTGCAAATGCTAAATTCGGAACACGTCTTGTCTCTGGCGACCAAACATCGCCTACAGCACGTCCCGCAAGCCGACGCACTCAAGGAACACCCAGCACTCGCACGCGCGTCGCACCCTCAGAAGATGGTCACTCTATGAAAGCAACAGTGACGAGACCTGCATGGGACACCAGCACTCGGTCCGCTCTTACGCCCACTTCAAAGCGTCCTCGCCAAATCTCCCAAACAAGCTCTGCCACTCGCGCTACTACCACGACTACCAAACAACCAGTTCCCCCTTCTCCGTCTGAGGATTCTGGGGTAGGCTTATACCGTCAGATGTTGGTTCAGGATCCATCATTAACCCAATAATTTTAAGCTTTAGATATCAACTATTCTTAATACCTCTTCATTATCAATCACATTGTTCATTATATCTTGCAATACCTACCCTCCTTTTTTCCATGGTCAGCACCCCCTTACCTTGTCATGCCATTCTGCTTCTGCTATGTCATCTAGTACTCTCTGTTTCACGATACCGTACCACTCGTTGCTTCACATGCTTTTCTTCTTATCAGACATTATTTGTGGAACCTACATTGACATCGTTCAAGCTCTCGCTCATCTAATCAACTGCCTGGCCATATAAACGACTTGGCTACTTCCTTCCTATTTCTTACAGTGCTAGTTTTTGATCCAGCTAGTCCAGATGTATCATTGCTATGCTTTAGTTCAATCAATCCGTTCCGTACGCCGCGTTATGAATGCTAACACTCCGTCCGCTTGGATCCGCTGAACAGCCCCAATCACCTCGAGGAATCCACCTGAAGATGTGTGATGCCAAGGTCAGATGGAAGTCGTACCACTGAACAAAAGTCATGCGCTTACCGCACTGCTGTCCTTGCTGCAGCCTCAAGGGGGAAAAGGCCTGCCCGTGAAAGGATAGAACAGGCTGAGTTTCAACCCTACACAAAATTAAAGATAGTTGAGCGCACCATCAAATATCTCTCGAATGAAGTACGCTTCTTTCGTATCAGGTGTTTCAAGTGGCCATCGTTGTGCACGGTCAGAGAACTCTTTATCCGATACCACCGCCGCAGCATGATCTTTTATCCTAAGACAAGGTTATCGAGCTATCTGGAGGCTAACTCGAGGAATACACATACCCGTCTATCCAAGAATATCCCACACCATCTGAAAATTGCTCTTTCTGACGCCACAAAATAGACTTTGGAAGATAAGGCTGGTGACCTTTATCAGCACGGTATGCACCATTTCTTGGCAAATTACTATACCTTCCCATCTGGTGAACAGTCAAAGGCTTTCCTCAAAATATACTGAACAAAGTTAGATTTTCACGATCATGAAAGTGGTCAGGCGCTACAAACCTTCTCCATTTTCGGGCGACCATCCGCATCGACCTCCTGGGAAGCACCTTTGGAGAACATCTTATCTTTTGCATCGATATTCATGGCGACTTCTAAAAAGGCCTTATCAAGGAAAGGAACCCGCGCTTCCAAACCCCAAGCCATGGTCGACCTGTATAACGTTTGTTACTGGTCACACACAAGAATATCATAGACACTAACTTATTGGCACGAAGACAGTCGGAAGTATGTAGGTTCTTCACGCGCCTAACAGTTTCCTGGTGGAACGACTGACTGTCGGGGGCTGCGTGGAAGTATAGATAACCTGAATAACATTGATTAGATGCAACGCGATGATACAAGTTTTACGACGTGCATTACCTCCTAGAATTTCGTCACTGCCCTCTCCACTAAGCACCATCTTCACACCCATGGCCTTAATCTTACGGCTAAGCAGATACATCGGTGTACTGGCACGGACGGTGGTTACGTCGTATGTCTCGAGGTGGTATATTACGTCGGGGATTGCATCCAAGCCTTCTTGAACGGTGAAGACATATTCATGGTGAACAGTGCCAAGATAGTGTGCTGCTTTTCTCGCCGCGAGTAGATCAGGAGAGTTCTCCAAGCCTATGGAGAACGAATGGAGCTGAGGCCACGAAGCTAGTGTTGCTGTATCGAGGTGCGATAAGTAAGAGCCAGCTATCTTTTCTGGTTCCTAGCTTACCTTGCTCAGTAATACCATCAAATCTGGAAGTAGGGGTTGGTGGTCCACTTTGCGCTTCCTTGAGCTTTCGCTGCCGTGCTTCATATTGCGCTTGAGCCACTTTTTCCGTTTCCCGCGAGGCGATTGCGGCAATCAAGCTGCTGTCGAGCCCACCACTCAGAAGCACACCATAAGGGACTTCGGACATCAACCTCTTTCTCACTGCTGCTTCGAGAGATTCTCGCAGGAGCGTATAATCTACAGGTGTTGGCGGCGTCAGGGCATCAGGAGCATCCCCAGTCCACCAGGATGGGTGGAAGTAGCGCGTTGTTGAGTTGTCACGACTATCGTAGACGTGACCTGGGGGAAACGATATGATGTTATCACATTCATCGACCAATGCCTTCAGTTCAGATGCGAAATAGACAGCCCCGGGGCGCTTTGAGCTCCAGCCCTGGTAAAGCGTGGTGATACCGATAGGATCACGAGCGGCAATGATCCTCGACGGCGATACTGATTCATCGAGCAAGACAAAGGAGAACATCCCATCTAGCTTCTGGCATAATTCCTTGTCGTATTTTCTATACTGCAATATGATGAGATGATGGTGGCTGGCACAGATAAAAACTACACGCATACCAGGGGTATAATGACCTCACAGTCAGAGTGAGTCTTGAATTTGACATCGGGACCAACGCTGGCACGAAGTGCGATATGGTTGTATATTTCTCCATTGACAGCAAGTATGACCTTTCCATCTTCACTCAGAAGGGGTTGAGCACCAGTATCTGGAAAATCCAGGCTAAGCGATCGTTGGATGACAATCACTGCCACCACGCTGTAGACTCAAGGAAGATTTCAACGCACCTACGCCGACAATAGCTAACCGTTCATGTACGAGTATACTTTCTTTGCCAACGTAACATCCAGACCAATCGGGTCCGCGGTGACGGAGACGTTTGGATAGTGCGATAAACCGCGTTCTATCAGCTGAAGGCTTTTCCAAACCATGTCCTGCGAGTATGCCACACATGCTGGAAGAAAAATGGGGATGCAGAAGAACCGAGTCAGTTTCACGCTGAAAAGCTGGCCGAAATTTTGAATCAGGAATATTGTCAGTGACTCGAGTCGGTCGCAAATCCGAGATAAGATAAGATAGCGATTTTATCGTATCGGAAAATAAACCCGAAATATATTGATCGGACATATAATGCCTAAGAGCGATATTCTATTCAAGTCAAACATGCTCTAACACTTCATTGCTTCATTGTGGACACAAAACATGATTTTACACAGGATATTTACGATAATTCATCCTTTAACCCCAGAGGTAAGCTTCTCCTCCTCCGAAGTACCGATCACCTTTGATTTCGTGCGTATTCATGACATGCTCGATCTCTTTCATATCATCTGCGGACAATTCCACATCTCCACCAACAAGGTTTTCTATAGTGCGCTTAGCGTGCCTAATCAAACCAATAAATACAATAAATACATGTGCTGATAGAAAATGGACGCTGCACTTACGATGAACCCGGAAGGGGAATGACATGCTTCCCAAGGGCACCTACCCAAGCGACGCTGAGTTGTGCGGGGCTGACATTCTTTCTCTTGGCAATGGCAGACAAAGCAACGACGATTTTGAAGTTAACATTGAAATTCTAGGCGACAAATAATATTGATCGTCAAAATGTTCATTCAAATGAAACGATCGAAAGCAATCACCTCTGGTTTGAAGCGGCTCAAATGGCGGCGCATGTCATCCGCTACACGTAACAAATGTCAACACGGTCATTGATGTAGATGAGCGGCCATTACTGACCAGGAATATCGTCTAAACTCTTTATCTGACCAGTGAGGAAACCCCTTCCTAGTGGCCTAGATGATCACTGTATCAATTTCCCATGCTTGGGGAAGGCGAACTCCAACTTACGAATAGGCTATGACGGCAATACCCAGTTCCTTTGAGGTGGCGATGACTAGGGAATGATTACATAGAGGGTAAGTACCAAGACACCACACACTGGAAACAAGAAAGGCACCTTTCTGGGTCTCTTCCTCGTACGACCATGGGCTGACTTCGATTTCAACAGCAGCAATAGGATGAACCTACACCGATATTATTAAGTGTCCCATTGAAGAATAGAAGCCACGTACAGCATGACCACGTCTCAGCGACTCTGCACTGCACTCAGACATACCGATGTGGTCGAATTTGCCCTCCTTTACATAACCGGAGAGTACTTTGATAGCATCCTCGACAGGGACCTTGGGATCAACTCTAGCACACTCAAAAAGGTCAAGACGCTTCTTTCCACGGAGTTTTTCTACGATAGTGTCGACACTCGCTTTCAGGTTCTCGGGACTGATTACATAATGAGTTAAGGGGATCCAAATCGCAGTGACAAGTGGCTTACGAAGAATCAGGTACCAAAGAAGTACGCCCAACCCCGCCCTAAGCGTTAAGTAAGTCCATCGAGTCCTAACAGTCAAGGGTAGGTGGAGGGACCAAAAGACTGACCTTTATAGAGAGGAAGGTCTTATCAGCATAGTCCGGATACTTTTCGAAGAATCGTGAGATCATTTCAAGGTTGGCAGTAGAACGGTTATGTCCGTAGAATTCCCCTATCGGACAAGATGGGGATGAGCTCCGAAATTGAATTAAGACGCAGACCGCAATCGAATCTTACCGCCATTGAGGAACATCTTCACACCGGGTGGGAGGGCATCGACACCTGCCTTGATAGACTCAAAGCACTCCTCGTCTGGAGTGGGAACTTCTTTCCAGCTATGCGACCCAGTTAATTAGTATCACACTCAATATAAACAGTAAAGGCAAGTACTCACGTCATGAACATCAAGCCATGCTGGTGCACATCCCTTAGCCTTAGCATGGGCATGAATTATGGAAATACAATTTTACTTACGCCGACTTTATTGACCACTACGTTGGAAGCGGTGCCTCCGAGGTTTGCAGTGATGAGTGTCATTGGATAGCGATTGCTGGAGAATGAGATATTGGATGTGATTTGAAAGCTGGTAGAGCGTAAAAAGCACAATAGTTTAGAGTCAGAGGACAAACTTGCCTGCTTATATATGTGCGGGGTAGATCACCCTAGTCTACCGATACTCCTTCGACTACCGTCCGATTGTACCTTGGATTGGACGATGATATCAGTATCACGTGTTCAAGATGACTTGAAGTTGCGGCTGCTGGCTACGTTGGCTAACGGCAACAGTCATCAAAGGGCAAAGTCAAGTTCTAAGGCCGTACGACACGCGTCCTCTGCCGCTGTATAACAAGGGGGAGGAGGGGATTCAAGAGCTAAAAGACTTTTAACGTACAAGGACCAAGTTTTAGCTTGCGATAGCAGCCCGTGTATCCCCCTGGGATAAAGGTAAGCTGACCAAAGCTGACCAAGTGCTGATACCATCGGCTCAATGTTTTCCAGTACAAAGATACCGCCGATTTTACTGAGTTTGTTATCTTTAGAAAAATGGGTTGGCCGAGGATTGTTGTGGCAAACAGAGATCACGTCGACGAGACATGGTTAATAATGAGCGAGATGGCATGATGGTCGTGTTCAAGGAAAAGCCCCGTTCCATCTTCTCTTACATGTCAGTTATAAGACTTGATTAGCCTCGCACCAAAGGGGGCCTTACAGGCTGGATAAAGGTGCCGTAGACAAGATCACCGAATGGGCTTGGCTTGACTGCCAACGAGCAATACTCACACCCAGCAGCTTCTGCTACAGAAGTGGACTTGGGAGTGCATCGTCCGTCGCCTAGCAATATCAGCTCCACGTGCACTCGAAGATCGACCAATGCGTCTGGGATGTTTATGTTTCCCACGGCCCGTGGTGCTTTGCAGTGCTGACTTTTGATCGCGTCACTTTGTCCCTCTGCTGTGCTCGGCACTAACAGTCCAAGACCGCAGCGTTCTTCTCCTCGCTGGTCTCACTATAATAAACGTCTTTCTTTCTCTACATCGTCTTTCCTAATGGCGCAAGACCGCTTGGCTGCCTTGAGAGTGAGCACCCACTTTGGACGTGCTCTTCAGGCGCTCTGGGGCTGACCATCCTTTACAGGCTCAAAGGCAGCAAAATGCTCCAGCCGACAGAGCTCAGGGAACCTACGAAATGGGGGTTCGTACGCACACAAACGACACAAATGGAGCTACTGATCCCATGTCCGATTACTATGCTGAGGTATCGTCTTATTCAACTCGCGCGCGTAATATTCAAATATTTATGTCATGGACAGATCACTTCCATTCAAGATGCCATTCAACAGTTTGATACCAACATAACAAGGATCTCCGACCTCCATTCTCGATCCCTCAATACTTTGGATGAATCTGCCTCACAACAGAATGCCACGCAACTGGAAGAGCTTGTGGCAGATACTCGGCAACTCAGTAATAGCATCAAGGAAAGAGTAAAGTCGTTGGAAGGGTATACGTCGTCTGGCGCCCAAGATGCTAAGATACGCAAAAATCGAGTAAGGACTCGCTCTTTCTTTCGCGTGCGCGACTTGACTTCGGTGGCACCCTCGCACAGACAGCATTTGTTCGATCTAAATTTATGGAAGCACTGCAGAGATATCAGGAAGTTGAGCGGCAGTATCGTGCGAAGTACAAGGAAAGGGTTGAACGCCAGTTCAAGATCGGTATGGGTTCACACGTTCGTCCGCCGACAGCGCTAATTTGTTTTTCGCAGTGAAACCTGACGCTACCCCTGACGAAGTCGCTGCTGTGGTGAACGATGACCAGGCTGGAGGTAGTCAGATATTTGCACAAGCAGTAGGTGGCCCCAATTATTCCTTCTATTTTTAAGTTCTGAGCTCTGTTGCAGATATCTTCTTCAAATCGATACGGCGACTCAAGGGCGGCCTATCGGGAAGTGCAAGAGAGACATCAAGATATTCGTCGGATAGAACAGACACTCACTGAGCTGGCACAACTCTTTAATGATGTGAATTTAAAATTCAGACCGAGGTTATCGACTCATACTGACTACTTGTAGATGGCAACGTTAGTGGCCGAGCAAGAGGAGGAGTTGCAAGGGATACATGATAAAGGAGAAACCGCCGCCGATGAAATCGAGAAAGGGTGTGTTCTGTATGCTCGCCCCTGTGATTTATACTTACCAGCTAAAAAGGCTCGCGCATACTGAAACTGCTGTTAAGCATGCTCGATCGGCACGAAGGAAAAAATGGATATGTTTCTGGATCTGCGTTATTGTTGCCCTGGCTGCCATAGGTATTGGTGTGGGCGTGTACTTTGGTCCAGGGGGGCCCGGCTACAACAACAGTCACAAAAGTCAAAACAATACTAACAACGGATGATGACATGGTCGGCACATGGTTCGCTGTTCGACCTTGGAGTCTGCGCACTGCGGAGCTGCGCTATCCCGGACACTGTAGTGGGCATGGACATGTTTGATACTGAGTTAGATACCCTATCCCTTCTTTTAAATCTGTTTACATTATGCTAGTAATTGATTGTTTGCCTTTCATGTGAGGATATCAAAAGATGGCATCAGGGACAAAGAAAAGTGAGAAGGCGACATTTGTTGTGCATCACAGGCGATGTCGCTGCGACGGAAGATGATCCATACATTTTTATGTAATGCGGCTTATGACGGCTTAAAAGTCTCGCCCTGGCCACCGCTGACGAACATTTCTGCAACCTTTGCTCCTTTGCTCTTGCTCCAAACATGTCGAAAAACGGTTTAAGAAATGGTGCACGAAAACTGCGACGGCGACGCTCCATGGATGTCGTGGACGCAAAAGAAGCAGTGGATCTCGCAACAGCGCAATCATATTCAGAGAATGTTTTTCTCTTCGTTCCCAATCTCATTGGTATGTACCAAGACACATAGGGAGAGACGTGTATTCAGTTTGTTTTACGCTTTTTAAAGGCTACACGCGCATCATTCTCGCTGGCCTGTCGTTGCACTTCATGAGCTATCACCCCAAGTATTGCACTCTCGCATACGTGGTCTCGTGTCTTCTCGATGCTGTGGACGGGCAGGCAGCTAGGGCCTTGGGACAGACCTCGAAATTTGGCGCTGTTTTGGATATGGTAACTGACCGGTTAGTTGGGGGTACAGATCCATCTTCTCCTGTGCTTATCTTTGATGTGACAGATGCACCACGTCGTGTTTGCTGTGTTATCTCTCATCGGTGTATCCAAGTTATGCTATCGTGTTCCAGTTTCTCATTGCGCTAGATTTTAGCAGCCATTATATGCATATGTACAGGTATGTTCTCGAACACGCTGCTTCTCGACTGGTCGCTTATCATGCCCCAATTAGTTCTCTAGTGACTGGATCCAGGAGCCACAAGCTAGTGACAAGTGATGTCAGTCGTATTTTATGGTATTATTATAACGATTCCGTGAGTGTTGTTGCATGTCTGCTTTCTACGGTTGAAATATTCAACTGTCCGTGACAGCGCACGCTTTTCTTCATGTGTGCCGGGAACGAACTCTTCTTCGTATCGCTCTATCTCATGAAATCGGTGCACACTCCCATCGGCCTCGGGGCTTATTCGACATTCCTGGCCGGCCTAACATACCCTCAGTTGATGGCTTGCTTGAGTGCTGGTGTATGTGTTGGGAAGAATGTCATTAATATGGTGCAACTATGGAAGGCATCAAAGATACTGGTGGGGGTGGACTTGGCAGAGCGAGCGAGTGCAAGAGAAGGGAAGAAGCTGGATTCGGAGTAGAGGACTGCACCTAAATATTATCTGGTTGCTGCATTTTTAACATATATATTCGTATGTTGCCAAAGTACTATAGAGGTCTTGTAATTTCCTTTCTTTTTATTCTCATGCAGACTCATCTGCAACCTGAAATGCATTTTGCGATCGGAGTGGCAACTTGAAACTTTTTCGGTGACATCCATTGTGGTCTGAACTGCCTGTTCCTTGACTTTTGAATGCGATCTCAGGCAATTCTTCGTCGGTCATTTCTCAAGGCCTCTGCGACACCCAGCTCTGCTCTTTCTTCAGTTCCACGGCTCCGTCGCGTTTCGCGCAAAGAGCAGCCTCCTACACGTCCTCCAGCACGGGTCTACAGACGTCTCGCATCCTCCACCCCCACCACTCCCCAGACCGAACATTTACCTCTCGCTGATGCCAGTCCTCCCGATGAACCACCATCCGAGGATGCAAACCAAACACAGGCATCCGTAAAGGCGTCAGTGAGCTCACCCCCGTCCAAGGATCCCGAAGACCGTCCTCAGCTTCCTAGCGACTTGGATATTCTCTGGGTGCCGGAGAGCGACTCTTCAGAGACTGATCCCATCGAATCGTCTGCCTTGCCGCCTCCAGAGATATTCGACGAGGCATTGACCAACTTACTCATCACATTACACCCTCAAACTCAGCATCGTGCATCGTACATTTCTCCAGCTGGTGCACCTCTTGAACCGACGCTTTCTCTCTATTGTCCATTAGAAGGTGGAGACTATGTTATCGACGAAACAGTCAAGGAGCTGGCTAGGAAAACCGGCTCTGAGGTGCTTGTCATAGATGCTGTACAGCTTGCAGCAGGCGAGTGGGGACACTTTGGCAAAGGTAATCACACAAGTAGTCATTCATTTGGTCAAAAGGCTGATCATCGTTTTCATTTAGCTGCAAACGCCCTTCAATTACCCAGAAACCCGCTTCACTTCCCTTCTCCAGCTTCTCCTTCGGCTCGTGCCCATCCTCGATTTTTGGTGGATGAAGACGATGACGGAGACTCCATGCCACAGATGGCAATACCCTCCCAAATGACCCTGCATGTCTTGGCACCCACACCTTCCAGAGGACGTACGGCACTGTTGTCCACCTCTAGAAACACAGCCGCTCCTAGCAGAGTAAAGACATTCTTCGACGAGCTCATAAACATCCCTGCGCCCACATCTGATACAGGCGAAAAAGCAATTCGCAGCCGGAGACCTCGATTGATCTATTTACGTGATTTTCCTACCCTCGCTCCTACTTCGTCGACATGGTATCCTCCTTTGCTGTCCGCCGTCCGTCAGCGTCGTGTAGGGCCTATTGCTCGGCCATCCTCTCCCATCAGCAACCCTATGACGATCATCTTTGGAATCACTCCCCCCATAGTACCCCCCGCTTCAGTACCGTCTTCTTCGGGCTCGAGCAACCAAGGTCTGGTTAACATGCTGATGAACAGAAAGCCAACGTCATCAGTTACTCCTTCCAACAGCAGACCAAGCAGGTCAGATTGGAGTGAAGATGAAACGGCGGACAAAGCGAGAGAGAAACGTCTTAAAGACCGTTTGCGCAAGTGGGAGAAGGGCGATCCCGAGCTCATAGACGAGTTGCCGAAGCTTTCGGTTAGAGGAAGTGAGGGTGAGAGTACCAACGGAAAGAGGCCGGGAGTCTTTGTTATTGGCGGGTCTCCCGGCGGTGGACTCCCTCCTTCATTAGATTCCATACTCGGAGGCTCAGAAAACCCTAATAATTCTTCTGATTCAGAAGCCTCCACAGCTCGATTTTTCCGCACCTCAGTCTTGGTACCAAACACTCGCTCCGTGGCACACGAACGGCTATGTAGAACTAGCCGACGAAGGGAAATCAATGAAGTGACTATGCGGATGGGCGTCGGAGCGGTTGGCGGCGCTCTACACAAGATGGACACTTCGTGCATCGAAGACAAGGAAGGTGTCCCAGAGGGAGAACAGGAGCCTACGACGAAGGACAAGGATGAAGAGGATATGTGGCATGACTGGAGCAACAAAGTCGAAGTCTGGTCGAACGTCAGACAAATCGCAGATCGTGCTCTTGGGAGCGTTGTCGCAGCTACGCCGAATCACCATAGAACGACCAAATCCAACCTTGAGCCTACTGTGGTTCCATGGTCTGCTGTACATCGTGCATGGGCGATGCAGCGCTCTTCGCACGATTTGCGCAAGTCGTGGATGAAGGAAGCTGTGACAAAAGTTCCGCGCGATAAAGAGACTGAAGATCAGCATGACGAGGGTGAAGCTGAGACTGGCCAGGAGAGTGTTGATGAAGTCGTGGAGCGGATCAAGCAAGACCCAGATCTCGAACAGCACGAACAGAGACTTCTGGCGTGTATCGTGGATGCAGGTCGATCATATTTTTCTCTGATATGAACTACTGAAAAGACTAAAACTTTTACTCATCTTAGCATCAATGTCGACTTCCTTCAGTCAAGTGCACCTACCTCCTCATACCATAGATTCCGTTCGGACCATCGTGTCGCTTCCTTTGCTCCATCCAGCAGCTTTCCAGCAAGGTATTCTTAAGGAACATGGCATGACAGGGTGTCTCCTGTTTGGACCCCCAGGAACAGGTAAGACCCTAGTAGTTCGAGCTCTTGCCAAAGAAGCTGGGTGTCGCATGATGACGATCTCACCATCCGACGTGATGGACATGGTAAGCTCAGATCGAAATGTTCATAACAAACACGATCTGATCAACTTGTTAGTACGTGGGCGAAGGCGAGAAACTCGTCAGAGCTGTCTTCTCTCTTGCTCGACGGCTATCACCTTGCGTGGTTTTCCTCGACGAGATCGATGCGCTGTTTGGGGCTCGCATGTCTGCGCGCGAGAGTGGTGGTGCATTTGCTCACCGGGGAGTCATCACTGAATTTATGCAAGAGATGGATGGTTTGAAGACCTCGAAGGATGACAGGGTCATCGTCATAGGTGCCACGAATAGACCTTTTGATCTGGATGATGCTGTACTTCGACGGCTCCCTCGACGACTGTTGGTCGATTTGCCAGGAGAAAAAGAACGCGAAGGCAAGTGGATTGTTTTCTTACATTATAAGATCCTTTAATGACTGGACGTTTCAGAGATTCTCAGGATTCTTCTTCGCGAGGAGACCTTATCAACTGAGGTGGACCTGAATGCTCTTGCCAAACGCACCGAAAGTTTTTCTGGTTCAGATCTCAAACGTGCGTAACTTTTTTCGCCTCATCCAAGTCTGAGAATTAGGAGCTTATTTGATGTTATAGACCTTTGTGTATCCGCTGCACTTGATGCTGTCAAGGAGCATGTCGAAGTTCCTTGGAAATCATCCTCGACCCTCTCCGGTGACCAAGTTCCCTCGTTATCAACAGTGTTGAAGTCCGAAGATCCCAGTCCAGCTCCTTCGTCGTCAACTACACAACCTGAAGATGTTGCCAGTGAACCTTCCACAACTTCGCCTATAGTCCCTCTTCGCACTCTCCACCTTCGCCATTTCACAAAAGCCCTGAAAGAGATTACGCCTTCGTCTTCCGAGTCTCTTGGCAGTCTCTCAGACTTGAGGAAATGGAACGAAGAGTTTGGAGAAGGCCGAAAAGACAAAAAGAGACAACAAGTTTGGGGCAAAGGCAAATTCGGGTTTATTAATAAAACGAATACCTCAGTGGACGAGGGAAGGGTTGCAGTCAGTTCCCCCACTTCTGCTACAAGTACACGAGATATAGTTTGATAAATACGCTAGTGTGGTCATTAGAGCACCGATGTACAGTCCACGTTGATATAATTCGCTCTAGAGAACTATTATCGCACTCTGCCGGATCGACGCCGTCCGTTGGCTTGAGATTTTTGGGGACTGGCATCATTGTCGTCCTCGTCATCGACGTCCATGTCATTCCGAGTGTTCTTTTTCTTTTGAATACGTTTTGATGGTGATTGGGAAGGTATCGATTGTGAAGGCTCCTCATCCATCTGCATCTCTTCGTCTTCCTCATCACTACCTTCTGCCGTACTTCTCCTTCGAACACGTCTGCCATCATCCTGACCGTCTTTCACAGCGCCTTCGCCAACAAGCAAGAGGGGTCTCTGTGCTTCCTGTGGCCAGTCTTTGCTGCAAGCTGGGCATGTTGAGTGATGGCGACGGTGAGTTTTGAAGCAGTGAAGATGCATGCGCGTTTTGCAATTTGGTGTATGACAGGCTATACCGCGAGTTAAGACCTGTGCAGAGAGGTGTGAGAACGCGTGGTAAATATATGCTATTAATATTGGCAGTCACCTCCATGCAGATAGTACATTCCAGGTATTCCTCTGGATAAGTCGTCTTGAGATATGGAAGCAGCTCCAGTAAAGTTCTCGTCGAGAGAGAATAACGACCGCGCCTGATAACATAAAACCTAGATTTAGGATTACAGAGAGGAAGAAGGATGACATTAAGCGTACTTGCTCTTGAGTAGCCATCCTTTGGCCGCAAAGCTCCCTAAAACAACCTCAGCTTGTGCTTTGGTCATATTCGATTTGAGGGCGTTAACCTCGCGCAATGCAGCAAGAGATGACATGGAGTAAGATTCACGCGGTGCAAGCATGATTTGTTCGACCTGTGTAGGGTGAGGTTTGAGAACATAGTACACCACGACAGTACTCGATCTGTTACTGACGATTGCCTTGAAGTAAGCTATCTCCCCTGGGTTATAGTCCGTAGCCATTTGCGCTATATCATCGCCCTTTCTGTTGACCTGCCAGACAGAAAATACTTTACAAGCATTTTACAGAACGCACAATGAGCCACCTACCAGAGCATACACCTCTTTACCTGTCTGTTCATCACTCAGATGTCGAAATTCGAGATCTAAGCTGTCTAATGCTACGTTGATGCTAGCCACAAAGTTATCCCAATCAACCCTATCGCCAGAATATTCAATGTCCACAGTATCGTCTGCAGCTATCGCGAGGGAAAGACAGGGATCAGGGGAAGGAATCGGAGAAAAGACCGAAAATTTACCTTTGACTGCATCGATACACTTTTCCCAAAGGATCTTGGCGAGTTTGAATGAAAGAACTCCGCGAGAAAATACAGCCTGGAGAAAGAGACGCTGTACGTCGTTTGAAGAGACCATCGTAGTTCAAAGTGACCATGGACGCGTCCAAATGAAACCAGACGCGTCGGGCTAAAGTACCGCGTTTCGGCTATCAAGGTCACGATTGCAATGAGGTGGATGCGTGCATGCATCATTCTCATTGACTTCCAGGTTAACCATAAAACAAGTGTTATAAAAAGATAGCGAATAACGGGTGAGTGTACAGCTTGGAGTCCGTCATAAGTCACATTCATTCACTGGAGATAAAAGCTTTCAGGTTTGGTAGATCAGATATCATCATTGGTCGTTTTAATTTCCTGCCTAGTTGTCATTATCATCAAACAAGTCCGATAGGTTAAAGCACAACAAAACAGTGTCCCTCCCCCTGATCAGAGCTTTGGAACTCGCAGCGTCTTGCTGACCATAGCTGCGGCCCAGAAGCCAAACACGATGCTGACCGGATGAATATCACCGCGTCCACCCGAACTACCCCATAGCGTAACAAGTCCAAAGGGAACACCTTCCTTGCCCTCGATCCAGCCTTGTTGTGCCCAGTACGATAATACAGCCACGAGGCCCAAAGACGAGGGTATTGGTAGACCTTCAAAATACCGAGCTTTCCCTGTCGCATCCTTGGGTACAACTGCAACGGTAGCATTGAATCGTGCAAGCCGAGCTAGGCCACAACATATGAATCCTGTCAGACAGACAGTGTCAAGGTATGTCCGGAGGCCAATAGCAAATGCAACGAGCGCTGGGGCAACGCCAAACGAAACCTAAGGGGACGTGATAAGTAATAAGCTAGGAATAGGAAAGGTATATATGAGACGTACCAAATCTGCAAGGCTGTCAAGCTCCTGACCCAACATGCTACTTGATTTTCTCCACCTTGCTACTTTCCCATCCATGAAATCAAACATGAGACCAGCTAGGGGAAGGGCGAGAGCCCAGCGCAAATAGGCATCATCATTTGTTAATAGATACTGTGCAGACGAAAATATCGAGAATGACCCGCAAACGCCATTCATTATGGTGACAAGATCAGCTAAACGAAAATTTCTGCCATAATGAAGGAGCTTTAGTGCGAAACTGCGGATTAAGCTGGCGAGCAAACCTGACAAGAGAGAAGTGACCATCACTGTCGACATACTGCTGCAAGACAGAAAGCTGTTCTCCATTGCTGGTCCCGTTTGACTGGGACTGCGCCGCTTTTCTTCGAGCCATGTCAAAAGTCTTTTTTGCTGTATTGACAGAAGAAAGGAAAGCTGGAGTGTGCACTAGCGAGACGCACGCGAGCACCTAAGACATATTCGTGCTTTCGGGGTCTCTCATATTATGATATTGCAAGACCCTCTAATACTCCGTGGTATGGTATGAGTACATACTGCATGCTTACGACTGCCTAGACATCCTCATTCCGAGATAGACGAACACTAGGATTCTACCTCCATGCGTGCATCCCCTTCAGAAGGTCCAGATAGTTCTCTGCTTCGCGCAGCGTACTGGTTTGGATGAGTTATACTCTCTCCACCCCCTACACCTTCCCCTTTCTTGACACCTTTGCTGGCATGTGTGATCTCAAATACCCGTGTGCACGCGACATGGTAATGACCCTCTTTCACGTTATGCATAATCGCGGGTAAATCAGTCGAGGAAAGGCCATGTGACGCATAAGATGAAAGCAGAGCACTTTCTAAATTCTCTGGTGCAAAGTGACGGTAGGGACACCCATGACAATCGGAGGGACCAGGCTTATCAGCGACAAGAATTTGTTGACAGCTACAAAAAACCTTGAGAACACAGCTTACATAGATCAGGATCCTCTCACCTCTTTGCTGGATAGTTGGCACGCTTTCCCTCCAACCCATATGAGTGTCTGATGTTATATTTGTATTCCTTGTTGAACTTGTCATCTGTTATTCCACTGAACGATTTGCGCCAGAACACAATGGCCTCTTCTATTGATACCCCCAGTACCTACAGGACATGGATGAGTCGATCTCTCAGATCAAAGCAAGAGAACACTAGTCTTACCTTCAAGAAAAGGCCATACTGCAATCTTCCAAAATGCTTCAAATGCCTATCTCTCATCAAGGATTCATGGATATTTCGCATGCACATTGGGAAGTGATTCTTCGCGAGGTCGTCAATCATCTCGGCTCTGATTTCATCCCCACTTGCTGGGGCACTTGCCCATTCTGTTGAAACACCTGCAAGGAACCCTTGTGAAAGATTGTCAAGGATGGGAACCAGGCGGGTGTCTTCATCTAGACGAGGCAATCTTTTTGCCGTAAGCTAAAGATAGATGTTCAGAATAATCGAGAGATACGTTCGAACGACCAACTTCAAGTTGTCCCGTTAAAAAGGTTTCAAACTCCTGAAATATAATACCATCGCGCTCCCAAATAGGAACATAAGCATAGCCACCTTTCAAGAAGACTTTGCGTTTTTCCACTAGCTCAGACACTTTCGTCCATTTTACCTGATTTTACAGGTCAGAGCTATACTATGCCACTTTTGTTGAATTCACCTTGTAATAAAGGCCCTTATAGCATTCGGGTTTGTCCTTGTATTTTGGTGGGACCGGGACCAGATTCACAAGCTTTTCTGCTTCAGGAAAGTTTTTATCAACATCTTTGACTTCTGAGGCGTTGACCTGCGATGCCAAAATCATGATCAGGACCAGAGAGTGAAATCCCAAAAGAACGTACCTCTTCCCACCCAAATGTAAGTGATGACAAGAATGTTCTCCGTTCTTCGGTATCATCCAGCTCATATCTCACTTTGAAGAGGGTTGTTTCCGCTTTGATGAATCGCCTTCTCAACTCTTCTCTATTAACTATCGTTAAATAACATAACTTTGGCCGAAAAGTTGGACTCACGAACGGCAGAAAGCTAGCCTTAGAACGAAATGACTGATATGGTCCTTTCTCCGTTGTGCAGCCCAATCGATACTTCTTGCTGTATTGCTGTCTAGACACAGGTATTTCCTGCACTGCTTCGTAGTCATGTCCTTAAGTTCTTCCCAAGTTCTGTTACGAGCAATGGATGATTCGATCTCGGCGAGAACGCGAAGTCGGTCAAGCGCAGAAGCTTCGAACTCCTCCAGCGTCACGTCGAATTGTGGGGCTTTATCATAGCTGAAAAATCAAGGGTTAAGTCCTAGTTGTATAATTTCTGGATTGCTAAAAGACAAACAAGTTGAGCCGATGTGGGTAATCGCCCAAGTGCGTGTGCGGGTCCGAGTGCTTGTGCTTGTGTGAGTGATTTTGTACTTGACCAGGAGGAGTTTCGCTATTTTGAGCCTCGCTGCTTCTGTACATCAGGTAGCAATTAAGATGAGGTGGTGCGAGGGATGAATTAGATCACCAAGCCTGCTTGCCAATGGGTGTATGAATACAAGCGTCTCAGACTGAGTCTGAACGCGCTAGCCACACCTCAAGACACGTCCAGTCACAGCATTTATCTTGTCACGCGAGCGTACTTATGTTTAGCAAGAAGAAAGCAATAATATCACATAACAACTCGAATAAAAACTAAGCAAAGCGAGACGGATGCAAAATTACGATACATATATCTGGTTGTACCTACTAGAGGCCCATCATCATAAACTACATATGAGGCCCGGAAGAGATATACTGAGGATAATAACTAGCTTAGATATAAGAACACATTTTAACGTGAAGTCTGTCGGCCAGTATTGCGGCGCACAAGTTTGGCTTTGCCTTGTCGACCCACCGGGTTCGAGTTCGCAGGTGCAGGCTCTTCTTCCACGTCAAAGGTAACCCCTGGACGGCGCCTTCGACCTTTTCTACGTCCTACAAGGTCAGCTTCCTCCCCCCTAATCCATTCATGAGTGGCCTGAATGGGATCGCGCAAAGGCGGAGGCGTGAGGAGAGGAACAGGAGGGATTTGACTAGCAGTAGATTGAGTTGGCGAGCCCACAGCGGTATTACTCTGAAGTGTGTGTCAATCATTGGTCATCACTAAAGAAGGGACGTATAAACTCACTGCCGTTCCATCCATCGCTTCAAGAGAGGCAGCTGAAACTGTCTGATGTCTCTTGGATGTGAGGAACTTGAATGGCGAGAACACCTTGGAAGCAGAATCCTTGCGTTCGCGTGGTGTGTGCGCGGAGGGGGGTATTGTGAGTGGTGCTGGAGCTTTCGCTTTTAGCCTAGCAGTCGGATGCGCAGATGTGGTCGTGGCTACGGGGGTAGTTACAGCCTCACTCTCGCTGGTTGGGAACTTGGCTTTAGATCCAGACGACATTTTTGAAGGCTTTACATTGGCTAGGACCATTAGCTCTGGAGCTTGCTGTCGGGATGTGGTTCTGCTTAACGTCGGCCCAGGAGTAGGATCTTCATCTTGTGGCTTTACTGAGGTTGATTTCGCTCGGAAAAGACCACCAAAGAATCCTGCTCCTTTCTTCTTTGGATCTTTATCCTCCAATGACGGCTCTCTCGTTCTAGGGGGTTGAGAAGCAGAACGCGTGACAGGTACTTTGTGCAGCATTGACGGTGCCAGAGATGACGGTGTCTTCAATAGTTCCGATTCGCCTGAGGCCGTGCGAGAAACCTGAGCAGGTAAATGCGACCGCGGGGGAGCTAAAGTAGATGGATGGCCAGAAACTGGAGCACGACCCGAGGCAGATGGGTCAGGGGGTAGCTTGTGATGCGCACTTGGAGCAACAGAATTTGCAGATGGTTGATTTACGGAAGGTTGATGCTGCTTCTGTGAAGAAACAACAGGTGTTTGGGCAGCAACAGGTAATGATACAGTGCGATGATGACTATTTGTCGTAGGTTGGTTAGATGATGCAGGCTGCGAATTCTGAGCTGATGTTGCAGAGCGATGCGAAGTTGGGTATAGTTGTGCAGATGC